CTTCTGTTTATTTATGTGTGTGTCACATCTCTTTAACGTTTCCTGTTGCATTTGTCTGCCTTCGAAATATTCGTTGTCTAAGCTGCCCCTGCGTCTTTTGTATTTGCTACGTGCATTACTTTAAATATGCACTCTATGTGGCCAGCCGATCCTGACATTCTTGATTTTTACATGACGTTTACAGCGAGGAAGATTATTCGTTTTTATATATGTACTTGAATCGTCGGATTTTAAGAACGATAAGAAGTTTAGGTACATTAATCCCAGATTTTGCATTCAAATTATCTCATTTGTCAGGTTGGTAGTGTGTGGTTCGCGAGTTTAATTTCTTGTGCTCGCGAGAGGAGACACGTCGTGTCTGTTTATTAGTGAATCGTCAATTTAGCGCCTGCCTTGTGGGTTAAAACTGCTGTATATAGAATATTGTAGTTAAAGGGCGGATTTTTTGATCTTGCGATTCTTAATTTCAAGCCGGGGCGTGTCCCCCTTCTTTTTCATTTTGAAAAGTGTAGTGCTGAATCTGATACAAGGCTCTCTCAAGTATCTGCGACGCTGTGTGGTGTTGTGTTGTGTTGTGCTGTGTGGTGTTGTGTGGTGTTGTGCTTTTCAGTTTCAGGCATCGATCCAAGGACCTCTTCTAGAGGAGCAGCGCGTACTCTGTAACGTAGAACCAAAGCTTTTTTTCTAACTCTTTTGGATGGGCGTTTTTTGCAGGACTTTAGCTGCGACACTTTCTTTTCATGTCAGTCCGCCCCCAGGCTTGTCATGGCTTCATCTTAGTACCGTGTATCTTAGGTTTGTCTTTGAGATTAATTATCTTTTTCAGGCTATATTGTAAACTGGAGATTCAACTTAGAGAAACAAATTGAATGTTGTTACTTTGAAGGAACTCTTAGTGCGCGCGAATAGTTATTACGTGACAATAAAATGCAGGTTATTAATCGGTCAGTTACATTTGCGTTTTACGTGGCAGTGGGAATCGCCCAAATGCGGTAGGCGTTAGAATTTCACGCGAATGAAAACTTAATCTCGTAATAATACGTTTATCGATAAATCAAATCGAGTTTGGATTGTTACTAGTATCGAAGCTGCGATTTCACCTCTTAATAGGACGAGAATTTTTGTTTTCTGTAATCACGTAGGCAAGTCAGAGTCAGATCGTTGGTAGGGCCTCGTTATCGAGATTTTCTTTTATAACTGATCGTTTCGTCCGTCGAACTCGAGAGACTTTAGTTGCATCTTCAATGCGTAGAACCGTCGAGGTTTTGTTTTGCGAAGAATTCGATTCATTTCATTTTTGGTTGAGTTGTACCACTGAACGTGGGCAACTCCAATCATCAAATATTACACGCCATCATTAAATCACGAAGTTTGTGTATCTGCAACAGAAGATAGATGAAGATTACCAACATCACAGGTAAGTTGTTTTCGTTGATGTTGTTAATTCACATTTGTTTGGTTTTCTTTATATAGAAGGCGTTTCGTTTGTTTTGATTGTTTCAGGTCCCGCTCATATCCTGTGCCTCAACGTGGCGAGCGGGTGAAACAAAGAACGGTGCATTCCCGAAATTGAGGTCATTGTTTGGATTATTGAGAAATCACTGGAGAAAATTAAAATTATTTTATTTGTTTACGTATTTATAAATCTTGATTTGTTTTATTAAAATTGTCTCTTTGGTGCGATCATTTTTCGTGGTGAACATTAGTTTAAGTCCGATAAGTGTTATTTGTGATGTAGCTAACTGGTGGTCTTCTAAATGCTCAAATCAAGGGGTTTTATTCTGTTTTTAGCATAATAAGTTTCTAGTTGTCTATTTTCACCAATGTTTAGAAGGGATTTTTGATACGAAACCAAACTTTTGGGAGAGCAAAAACAAGAAACAATTTGTCTTACGCATTTGCAGTGTAATCGTAATGCCTTTTTCTAAAAGCAGAGGTGTCTTACGACATATTTTTGGGATGAAATAAATAATTTTATTGTAACTTCACAGGAATGCATCGTTCTTTGGCCAAACAGGATCGTCTTATTGTAACGAAAATTTAAAAAAAAGAATTAACCTAAGTTTAATGCGAGTCTGTATCGTAGCAACCTTAAATTCTTTTTTACATGCAACACAGACTTTTTTGCAGTGATGATAAGGTAATTGGTATCCTATTTACAGGACATATTTGCTTCATTGTTATTTTATCCTGAGTCTGAAATGAAGTCTTAACGGAAAGACAGAATAGAATACAATTTTAACAATGCACATAGATTTCAGTGATATTACCTAATAATATCTTGTCTGTGAAATTAATTATCTTGGCCTTGAAAATATTAACATGCCCCTGATGGAGAATGACAAAGGTGTAGAATTGCATATAATTTGTGGATTTTATATGGCATAAAAAGAAGAAAGCAGAAAATTAAAAGCGCCCCGAAAAGCTTCCTGTTTTGTTCGTGCATTAATTACAAGACATATTTCTATTTAAAATATGTATAATTTTTTAGAATTTGTGTCTCATTGAGAGTGTAGCATCTAGCATTTTGGCGCATATTTGATATGTTTCTTATTCAAATACTCAGTTTATGATCAGAATTTATCACTGGTCTAGATTATGACGTATCACAAGATGTCATAATCAAAAACTTTCTTTCGTATTGCTCTTAGTATGAAGGTAGTAATTGCATTCTAACATTTTCCATGAGATTATTAACCATGCATTAAAATGTCGTTAAAATTTAGTTAATCTGATCACGTGTAAAACATTGTCGAAAAGGAGGGCTGAGTGTCCACCAGAAGCGTTCAGTGTCTACAATGTGGTGATGTTGCAGGTAAACCAGATGGCAGCTGTGCACGCCCCAAACCTATAAACACTATAGCAAATTGTATTTTAGTGAGATGTAAAGATGGAATACATTTCTGAGGACCTGAAGGGAGAAACGAAAACCATGGAAACCCCAAATCAGGATAACCAGCCTGTGGTCCATGATTTGAAGCCAGGACGTCCCGAGCAAAACCTAGAAGATAGTCATCTTAAAAGATTGTAGTTGCCTATTCTGAATATGAATTTTGTTGGGCGTTGATGATAGCGGGGAGGTGGAAATAGGTTGAGTCGGATGGTAGGTAACGCTGTTACCGACTGAGCTCTTGGTAGTGGCTCACACCATAGTTTAATACAATGTCTTACAGCCAGATTGTGTAATGGTACATGGTGATTAAATTGGTGTTTTTATTTGTCATTGGTGGAGTGAATAGCTTTCTTCGATTTTTGATTAATTAGAAATGGAAACGAATGTTACACGTTACAGCGTCTTAGCACTGATACAAGAAGGGAAAACATTGAAAATGAAATCAGTTACTTGAAGTCTGTAATTGATCGTGTATTATAGCATATTAGTAATTCATGTCGTCTTTGATACAATTGTAATTTTTGGTAATGCTGTAGTTGTCGGGATGTTCAAGAGTTCTACAATTAGTGGTAACCGAAGAGCATTTTCTCACTATTTCTCCGAAGCATTTATGGCTAAATATTACTCGTTTTTCCGCAGAACAATGTTGGTATGACAGTGGATACCCCAGACAGGATTTGGATGTGTACTAATTCCGAGATGCCCGCCTTAAAATTATATGTAATTGGCAAAATCATTTATTTAGTACTCTCTGTACACCGTTTCTTTAGTAAGCATTGCCATTTTTTCTATAAGTAGTATAATTTTGAATAAGGCTTATGTGGAAGTTCAGTAGATGGTCAACTGAATTTTGTTGAATTTTAAACACTTAATATAGTAATGCAAACATATGTAAACGATAATCCCATATTGTTTCCAGATAAATCAGAATATTTTAAACCAAAGTGCACAGGAGTATATTTGGACATTTGACTGATCAAATTGGAGGGCAGTTTACAGTATTACATTATGAGGAACTTTGATGTATACAGTATTATTAAGATAGTGAAATCAAGGTTATAATGGGCTGGTCATGCGTACTAGATGGTATAAAATGCATACATAATTCTGCTGAGTCTTCTTAGAAAAATTGTTGGTATATGTCTAATTACAGTATTTATAAACCATCAGTATCTACCTCAAGTACACATGTCATTAGAACCCAGAAGGCCAATGCCGATACTCTACCGCTGTCAGTACCTCAAATGTCATATAACCCGAAAATCTACTTACTTCACAATCTCCATAAAACAGACAATCAACGCAAGTTTTAAAAACACCTAATAACAACTTTTATTTTATACAGCTACATAATATATTCAGACTTCTCGCTAACTCGTCATATGACGTCTGCGCTGTTATATAAATACAAGGATAGCTCACGTTCCATTTTCGCATCCACCTGTTCTTCTGAAACTAAAAACAAAATGTGACATTAGTTTTATGATTTCTCAAGAAAAAAATATTTCAAACGATATTAAAGAAGTACTGATACAGTTCAGATACGTAAAAGCTTGCGACCTATCATGGAGACATTACATAAAAAAGTAATATTGAAAGGACATGTTCAGGTATTTCATATAGACCTATTGTGGAAGATTTTTTTACATTTCACAGGTGTCATACTACTATATTTGGTTATATTTATTAAAATGAGGAACTTGTTTTATGGAAGAACAAGATGACTGCTTGTTTCAGATGCTGAGAGAAAGTTTTGTGATCAGAAACAACAATTTCAGGATCCAAATCATTGTCTACTTGTCACATAAATTTTATCTAAAAGTGTTTTGGTTTGTCCGTAGCTGATGTTTGGTCATAATTTGAATTTAAACATGAATCAAAATAATTTAAGCTGTTACATCCTGTTGTGTATCCAATAAAACTAATAATGGTAAGCCACCTACAGAACTGATTTTAATTTACGGTTTTCTTGATTCAGATCAATTCCTAGTGTATGGGTTGAGATCTGCTGGTTAAATTAACTGCCACAGTAGGTAGACGTAACTTTTGAAGATGAAATCATACTGCTAATGTTTTGTTGCACTACTCACTACAGTAGGGTGGTGAATTATATGTAGCAACCTCAAAGGACCCTCTGGCAGGGAAATCGATAGTTCTGAATCCCAGTGGAGTGCAGGTCGTTATGGAGCAGTCAGATGGATAGTTGAAAGCCCTCGAAAGCCAACCGAGACTCAGAATGCTATGGAAAAATGTAATTCATTGGTTTGATAAATGCAATGCATGTAACACACGGAACACAAATATTCAAACATCATGTTCACCTTTTATTGAACACTCTGTAAAGGAGGTATTTAAATATTTAGTAATGTTTTCTAATCATGTTCTTCAATAATTAATAAATATAGGCTGTTCAAATATGGCTTGCCCTGTACCATGAAGTCAGTCGGTATGTTTAAACTGCATAAATTAGAGTAGCCGTTTTGAAGACAAATATAACCTCATCACATCCAAATTGTTTGTGAAAACTATAACAATACACATGAAGACTTACAAAAATTTGTTTTTCTAGAAATGTTTAGCAGAGGCCTACCTTACTGCAGACTTGATAAAGCCAGACTTTCTACCCCAGAAAGTGCAGTTCGGGTAGGCAAGAGCTTCTGTGTAGTATTCAAAGGCCCGATTATGAGGGCATATCACTGAGTCTACAATATCTGTAAGCAAAGTGATTTTTAACTTTTAAACACACGCTGTGTTATTTGTGAGTAGAGTCAGTTCATATTATAATCTAGTAACTGACTTCGTCGAACAGTGTCCTTCAAGAGAATATAACATTCACTAAGTTAGTCAATATATTCATGTTTTTTTATGGAACCAGATAATTAATTGCTGTATTTATAGAACAGTTATAATTTTCCTGTGCATGTTACATCACCATCACACATTTTTTTTGAATTTATCACCTTAATAAAGACTGGTGTAGAGAAAATTTTTGTAGCACTTCATTTTATTTTCTCCCTTATCTTTGCCGCCGTTAGAACTTGGGATAAACCAAATGGACCTCTCTGTGGTTCTGTATGCCGGTGTCACACATAGCTACCTTCAACAGGAGTGAACGAAATGCCTCGCGAAGCAATCTTCTGGAGACTAATAACAGGAATCTGGCAACCGGGCTGACTCCAACCCCCGTTCACATAGAAATCCACGTGTCCTGCAGCAAACAGGTGCAGACCTGAATTACACGGCTCAGAATTACCTCTCATCTTGGAAGATTGTCATTGTTTTCAACATTAACTTGAAGAAAAGTTAAAACCCAATTTTGGTTCACTAATTTATTATTACTTACTGTAATCTGTGGTCTGTTTGCATAATTCGACCCACACATAGTTTCAAAATTACAAATTGAAGCCATATTTTAATATCCTATAATGTATCTGACAGTACAATTTAGAATGTTTTCAGAATGAGAGATTTTGTGCATACATTTATCATTTAATCATTCAGCGACATACGAATTTTTTTTAAAAAAGAGCTTTTATCGAATAATGAACAAACTAATTATTTACCTTACCAACTGCTCTTAGAATGCCCGCCCCCAAAAGCGGGACAGCGGGCTTAGCGTCTGTGTGCACCACTTCCACGAACAAGGCATCGTCTGCGTCCAATTGCACCTCCTTCTTGAAACCCTCGAATAACAGCTGGGCTGGGTCCAGACCTGCAACAAAGTTAAACCTGACAGGTTTCTTGATTAATGATAGCTACGGTTACCAAGGAACAGATTTTCTCTGTTTCTTCCCAGTGTAATAAATGTAAGCAAATTTCGAGTCGGAAAGCTTGAAAGGAGGAGACAATTTGGAAGATTAAGAAATAGCTGGAAGTATAATATTAAAATGGATCATAAAGCAATATAGTGTGAGGGTGTTGACTAGATTGAACTGGCTCACGATCATTTTGGCGGATTCCTGTGAACACGTTAATAAACCTACGAATATCAAACGGGATTTCTTGACAAGTTGAGCTATCATCATCTTCTCAGAAAGTCTTTGTTCTACGGAATACGTTAAACGTCATCTTCATAACCTTAAGGTCCAATACATTCACAGCCACTGCAAATCACACCAGGTTCAATGAGTACTGCAGCATATCACGTGTTTCGTTACTAGCCCTGCACATGGTTTCGAACCGCTACTCACCTGTAATGCGTCCAACTCCCGGTATGCTCTTAGCAACGTAGCCCGCGGTGTGTGCCCCTAGACTGTGCCCAATCATGTGAAATCTTATGGGCGATGCCCTCTCTCTCTGGATTAAATATCTGCTGAGCCTGCAATCATTAAAATGGTAATCATTAAAGTACCGTGTTTCTCGGTGTATAACACGCGGCTTCCCCCCCCCCCAATATCCCTAAATTTGCGATGCGTCTGAATACGTCGAAAAATTCTATCTTAAGTTACAAAACTTACAACTGATCATATTAACCAGGCGTTATTTTGGAGGCAACAGATTCTATAAGATATAGTTTGTCTCAGTATCACTCACCTTGTGATCTCGGCTCCGACGACCCTAATATTAGCACAGACTTTGTTGTATTCTCCATCGCTAGCTCCAACTCCCCAGTCAACAACGAACACGTTTGCATCAACCTAAAGGAAACAGTTGCAAGATGTCTTGAACAGTACTACCACTACTAAGTCTGTTAGCCGTATGAGATAAATGAGATTAAAACGGACATCAAAGAAACAGCTTATGAGGTCGTGGACCGAGTTCATATGACTCAGGATAGATTCCAGTGACGACGTAGTAGAACAAGGCGATGAAATTTCGAAGGCGGAGAATTTATTGTCAGCTGAAAGAATATCAGTTTCTCAAAGAAGACTCTTCTCCGTGAATTTGGTTGCCTGGATTCAGTTTCTTAAGAGTTGTTATTCTTGAGGGTGCAGATATGTTTAGTATTATGAACTGTAATTTTTAAATTATTAAAACCTAACGATTCAAATACTTACGTTATTTAGGTAAGCGTTCTTCATGTCATTCAGCCAGGTGTCGTTACCTGTCGACATGAATCCGTGAATGATGAACACAGTTTCCTTACTTCCGTTGTAGTATGAATTTTTCATGTCAATATTTGGCCAAGTCTTCACATAATAACGATTTGTAGGTCGCCTTCTGTTTGTCACAAAGATTAATAGTTGTATTAACAAATAAAATCATACATACGTTGCAAAACTTATTCACGTCTGGACACTTCGCAGAGTTCTTCGCTGCTGAATATTGGTTTCACTTTACCTTCTCATGTTCACGGATAATAAAATTGGTTTTGTGACAACGTTTTTATCAGTTGCCAGTAAATTATTTATATCAATTTTATGATTCGTATATATTGTTTTGTCTTACAGAGTAATTTTATTCTATAATATACATATATCTGAATTACTTGATTTGTGTCATTAGAAAATGTTAATAACAACCTACAGATAACCTGACAGCAGAGCCTTTCTGTAGCATGTTACCTTGTGTAAAGATAGAATCTTGTCTGGATGACACTGGGGTCTTCAGGAAGAGGAACTGGTCGTAGAGGACCGCTCCAGGGCTCGTCCACCGAGAAGCAACCTAGTTCTGCGTAACAAACCGACTCTTCTTCTGAAGGAGGGAAAGAAAACGAATTATGTTTTATTTGCACAAAATACAAGAAGTAATAAGAAGTAGTAGGCGGAAGCCGCGTCCGCCTGTCTTGGACACCGGTCATACAGGCAGAGGTGTTTCGTGGTTTTCCTTAGTCCCTACGAACAAGTGTCGGTATGATACTTTTACATCATCGACAGCCTTCCACATCATTTTCAACTTATGATATATAAATCTCCCTACACTTCCACGTTACAGAATCTGTACAGATCATTAGTTTCAAATACAGGCCAATTATAAGCTATACGAATTGGTGCACGGAGGCTCAGATTTCAATGTGGAATCTCCTATTTAAGCGCACGATTAAAATTCAGAGGATGTGTTTCATCTTTCATGAATAATCCACAAGTTTCCTTTTATTAGGTCTGCAAATATAACAGATAGTAAGAATGAACACATAATCTTGTTTTAAAATCAGAAAAACTATGATAAATAAGGTGCGACTTGCACGAAATCTGTATAACACAAGCAGTCTTCTAGAAAATAAAGCATAATCTATCTTTACATAAGCTTAGCCAGAAACACTTTTAGAGCAGCTGTTAATTTTAACGATATTTCACTGAACAATTACTACGTTCGGGAATTTATCGGTTTTTTCATATTTTACATTTATTACTAACCATTAATGAATATTTTACTCCAAATTATTATATCTTTGATTCCCAGTAAGAATGACTCAACTCTTTAATGCACAGTGGAGTGGTACCTGTACGTATTAAATTTTCAACGCTTTCACTTCTTTACAACCCACAGTTACCAGGAAAAGCGGGCATCGCGAGGAAACCTTCAGAACTGCTAAATATCTGTTATCCTCTGTAATAATTGCAGTGTCTCTCACAACCCTTCCACATTTCTCTCTCTGTCTGGATAAGTTAGCACTCATTAAGTTTTATATAAGACATCTTAGATATATCAATATCTGAAACCTCAACACTGTAGTCGTACACAAATCGACATATCATCATATCTTTAACTTACCGCTCTGAATCACCAAAACTTGCACAAGGAGCACAGCACAGAAAACAAAATTAAAATATTTCGAAGAATTCATTTTTGTACTTAACTTCTGATGACTACGACAAAACTAAACCTCCGTATTTGAAGACCGAAGGTCAAAAGAAACTGACGTCAGACTAAAAGGTAGTTACGCTTGCAAAATGATTGCTGCAGCTACGCTCACGTGTCTTTTCATTTTTATGTCGAGCCTTCTTCGTTTAACACTGTCTTGTTGCCAGGTACATGCAGTCTCACGCTCAGCAGTTCTTAGCGAAACTGGTTCTGCACAGCTCTCTACATTCATTTTCGCTTTTGCTTTATTTGCTTAGTTTAAACTTGTTATGTAATTCAGTATCCCGTGTTGTGTAATCTATAGACTTACAGGTTTAGGTTATAGATCAATGTAAATTCAAAGTGGATTTAATGTTATGTAAACATGTAAAGTAAAAAAATTATGTCAAGAGGGCTTCCGCACATTAATGAATCGTATCTGAGGTATAATGATGACTGGTGGTCCACACTGCTCTGGGCTAGTTACAGTATTCCGTATTACACGGGGTAAGTTAGCACGGTAGCAAATTTAATTGCGTTTTGATCTCAATATGCATGTTCCAGTCCAGGAAATCTGAACCGATATATCCTGTTGTAAAATTAAAATTAAAATTGTTCTAATTTATAATTAGTTTAATAAATGACGTATCTCAATTTCACTCGTAATACAATGTACAGATTAATTAGGAATGATATGAAAGGAAACGTTTAGGAGCGCATTTAAAATATCACCCGATCTAGAAAAATTCAGTGGGATAAGCGGTCTCCACTCCCAGGTTTAGACTTCGAATCTCCCATATAAAAGCAGGTGCAGTAAAAACTAAACCAGTTCACGGTGGGTGATTGGTTTTTATACTGTTTAATAACGCTTTATTGAGGAAGTAAGTTATATAATCTCTAAAGAGATGCGTAAATTATTGTAATTGGACAACTGGTTATATTAGGCCTTAAGACAGAATTTATTGCATGTGGTTGCTGGTCCACTTCCTTCATATATAAAGATGTGATACTGTTTCAGAACATTCTAACACCCGTCCTTTCTACCGAATTTTCAAGTTACCAGTTTATTACTCGCAAGTATGTAAAACCTGCAGTTGTCATGGAGACATTAAATCGAGTAAAAATACAAAGTTAAATAAATTTATTCCATTTATGATACAATACTAAATTTTAGGCTATTTTTCTTTTTATTTTATAATAGTGGATTAAAAGTATGACAGTTGATTGCCCCTTAATGATATGTAGCTTAAACCAAGTTTCAAAATACTGCCTTCTGTACCTACGTAATAGGAAAGCGAGGACTGGGAAGATGACTGATACAGCTAACTGACCATCTTAAATATGGAAAGAAGATGAAGTTTCAGGAATTAAAACGAGAAGCTGAGAATAGGGAAAACTGGCGAACTCTTTTTGGGCAGAACAAGGGACCTGTCGTCAGACAGAACACTAAATAATATTAATAATAATACCTACGTAATGAGTGCCGTAGGTGCCAGGATAGAACAGACAGAGTTTAAGAGTTGCGTTTAAACATTGGTCTCCATCCACAGACACGAAACACATCAACGCAATAGAGAAGGCCAACAAATATGTAAGAACTTGGATAAGATGGAAAAACCAATGAGTTAAAAATATTGTGGAAGACTTCTTGCGTCACTTTTTTCACAATGTCTAGAGATTCTGGGGAAAAAAAGATAGCCTTAGTCACAGCAGTCGGTCTTCCCGGACTTTCCTTTATCGCAAGAATATTCTCCAATACGAAAATAGGTTAAGCTTAGCATTCCATACAGGGTAACAGTTGTTGCTGTGCTTAAGAATTACGGCATGACGATGTATGGAGGAGTGGAGGAAAAGCTATACATATTCTTAACCTGACATTAGATAGAGGCTTTACCATCGGAGAAAATACATCTGACACGCGATGGATAGAAGGCAGTATATTCCAGAGCCGATCTGGACGCAGTGTAGAAGAGAACATTCCAAATATTTATACAATTCTCAATAATATTGGAAGGCTGGAATGCGCGATGTTAGAAACTCTGAATTTTCCAGCAAATAAAATAAGTTAAACTAAAGGGGAGTATCCACTTCAGAATCTAGCCCACGTCACTAACTACCGTTTAATCACGTAATTACGGTCAATCAGTTTACAGGCAGTAGCACAACCAGTGTCACTTCGAACGTCAGTACTACCTCTGCACATCAGATGAGGAGAAAGTACGGTGCAGCTCTCAGTTTTGCATGCAAAGACCTCGGACAGGAGCCGATTGAGTGCTAAATATGACTCTGAACGATCTACATATTGGGCTCAATCTTCTTACACTATTGAGTTTTACATTTTGTTTATTGTAAAATGTAATGAACGGGATCATGGTGGCATTAAGATAAGAATATGTTTAAGGAAGGATTATTATTTTTATTAGTAGTAGTGGTATCATTATTATTAATTACTTTAAAAATGTTATATTCGGTTTGTCTTCTTAAATTTTAAATATCAAGGCATAAGACAAATTTTCAGTTTGCTTTTTATAATCGTTAATTTCGAGAAATACACAAATCACATGTTTAAAAACAAAGTGGTAAAGAAAAAATCTGTCATCAGAGGTAGATATGAATGTGAAAATTTGATGAAAAATGTGATTTATACAAGCCTGTTAGGACAGTGGCGTTGCGATGAGCTGGATATGTAGGTCGCACGGGATTAAAGAATACATAGAGAACTGCATTGGGAAAAATCTTGTAAGCGGTTGTTTAGAGAGTAGAGGATAGTATTAATATTAATCTTACGTATATAAGTCTTGAAAGTGAGAACTACCAGGAACAGCCAAAATTTAATTAAGTTTTCTGAATTCTTCTTTACCAATTCAGTAAAACTTTTTTTTCAATAAAGACAATATAAATGTACAGATTCAAAAAATAAATTCTTCATATAAAATGCACTGAACAAGCATTTTTAGTTACCTCAAAATACAGAAGTATGAACAGATGTAAGGTATTCATTTAATACTTCATAACACACCACTCGCTTACTTTAGAGCTTCTGGTATGACAAGGGCAATCAGTCCGGCTGTAACTATATTATTGACTTAGTATGATACACGTACATAGTTACCAACCCTGTCACCGCATATCTTTTAAGACTACCACAAGAACAAACAGGAAAACTACGACGGCATTAATTGGTAGCACTGTGGCAGATCCGCTGCCAGAGCTCAAAATCTTTATGTTGTTACCCTCTGAGCAGTATTTTCTTGGTGGGCCAATGCAGGCAGAGTACCCTATCACATGAGCTATGTAGTTCTGTTCGAAAACTCCAGATAAGAGGTGCGAATTGGGTCCCCTCGAATAGACAGGAACATCTTCCCCGGCGTGTGTTTCGTCTTTGAAGTAATATGGTGAGAAATGTTGATATCTGGAACAAATATTTTCTTATATTAATTACGAAAATTAGGAGATCACACGGATGCTGATGGTGAACCTTTCCATCTAAAGTGCGAATATAAGAATGTGGTTTTATTGCTGAGAAGAATAACAGGTTCTTATATTGTATGGGCCGAAATGGATTTAAAGTCTAGTAACATCTGGGTCAGCGTAACTGAACAAGTGGCACCAGCCTTACTTTGCTTGCCGCCTCTCGTCTTCTGGTACCACTCGCCACAAGCCTGCAGAGCAGTTGGACGAGTTAGACGCCAGATGGGTATAAAACCCGGGGCCATTTGCGTAGCTCAGCGTCTCGTATGGAAAATCCGAAACAGATGTCTTGACAAAACCTGTAAGAGCAGAAAAATACATTAAAGATTTTTACATAAAATGCAATGTACGATATACTTGCGTATTATAACACAATAGATTAGACACACATGTAATTAACTCAACGGAGCACAGTGCTTCTACAGAAGCTAAAATTCGCTCAGTTAGTCAAGAAATTCTCTAGTTTTTCTAGACCCAGAGCAATACGAATCGAGTCGACGTCTTCACACGCATTTTCTGAAAATCTATTTCAATATTATACTCCCACCGACGTCTATATTTCCTAAGTTGTCCACTGTTTTCAGATTTTCTGATTAAAATTCTACATACGTTTTTCATCTCCCCCATGTGATATAAGTCCACCCACCTCATCCTCCTTGAATTCATAAACCTAATAATATTTGGTAAAGAATACAAATTATTAAGCCCCTCATTATGCTATTTCTCCAGCTTCCAGGTACTTCCTCCCTCTTAGATTCAGCATTCCGTTCTCAGGCACCCTCAAAACCTGTTATGCCCTTTATGTGAGGGACCAAATTTCACAACCTGAAATTAAACTGTGAAATACTTGATTTAGTCGTAATTACTAACGTGATTTAAAATGTACAATAAGTTAATAAACTGCTTAATTTCGCTTGTCATTTTTAGCATAAAATAAATAAAATTATCTATCCACACACTACACGGTGCTGACTCATCAAAAAGACATTTTATCTTGTTGCGGCGACTTCAAAGTCCGTCGCTACCTGCACAAAAATTCACCTTTATATCCCATTGTGAGTGCGATAAATGGAGTTCACATCTTCAAAATCTCTCTATCACAGATTCATGATGGATGGATGGATGACAGATTATTTTACGACATTGTATCAACTTAAAAAATATTAGTGTCAAATTATATGAGAAGCTGAACACATCCAGAGAAGTGGACATTATTGGAGACTGGGCATATTTCGCCAATTTCAGTGCCTAAAGAAAACCACGAAAACATCAGTCAGAAGACTAGTCTCTGTTAATACAACTATCGAACACCTCTCGAATATAAATAAGAAATTATAGTGCTTGAGCCAGCTTGCTCCACAGAGTTTTCGTCACTAGGTCAGTACCGTCATGTTATTACATTCAGTACCTAAGATGTCATTTCCACGGTCGGGGTATCCATTGATTGTAAAAGAGTGCGAATGATCTGCAGTGACAATGATAAGCGTGTCTGCTGGGTCTGTGCTGGCTGCCGCATATGCTACAGCATCGTCCATCTCAGCGGCTTCATGGAGAGCCATATGAGCATAATTAGCATGATGCGCGTGATCTATGCGCCCTCCTTCTACCATCAGTACGTAGCCATCTTGGTTCCTCGAAAGCACCTTTATGGCTTGTGAAGTCATGTTCTGCAGCGACGGCGACCCGTTTGGACCATGATCTCTCTCCATTGCGTAGGGCATGTGTCCAGGACTAAACAATCCCAGCAAGTAGTCCACCTGCAATGCAACGCA